AATTAAAAAATAAACGTAAAATATTTCCACTCTCTCTTTCCCGAGGAAATTCTGAAAATTCTATCGAACTCGATAGAAGAAGAAACCCGTCGCTCCACAGAGAAAGAGAGAGACGAAATCCTATCGGACGGCTCAGCGATCATCTCTTAAAGACCTACCTGATAGAATTTTACCATGGCAATGGTGGAGACGGCGTAATAGAGCGAGGAGAGTATCGCGGCGGGCACCTTCACGTCGACGTGAAAGATCTCGCCTATGTAGGCCAACGGGATCGGGTTGAGCGCGAGCCCGTATCCGAGGATATAAATCACCAGGAACACGCTCGGTATCCATCGTAGCTTGGAGACGTCGTGGCCACTCGACTGAAGCTCGAAGAAGATCGCCATCGTCGCCAGCGACAGCACACAAACCGGCGTCGAGATCAACAGCAGTAATCTCTTGCCGGTGATCCTCACCAGCATCACGCACACGCTCCCAGCGATCACGATGGCGAACCCCGTGATCAGGACGCTAATGTTCGTCGAGACCGCGAAACCAGCCTCCTCGAATATGAACGACTGATAAGCGAGCAACGGTATCGCGCCTGTTAGAGTCAACGCGCTCAAGACGATCGCCCCGATGCGAAATGCACGGCGATTCGCACGCCTTGCGAACATCTCCTTCAACGATCTTCTCAGCGTTCGGTCCACGTTGCCGTAGTCCTCCGTAGCGACGATCCGTTTGATCTCCTCGAGCTCCTCCACGACGTCGTCCTTCCCTAACGCCCACTTCAACGTCCTCTCGGCGGACGTTAGCTTGTTCTTCTTCGTGAGGAACACCGAGCTCTCCGGAAGCCAGACGAACGTCACGAGGAACAACGAGGGTATCACCACGCAGATCATCGACATGGTGAAACGAGATGCCCAGAAGCTGATCACGTACGCTAGCAACATGCCCATGTTCAGAAGCACCGCCATCAGTGTACCTGCGTGACAACTTTCTCTGCTTATCTTGGAAGATCGTCTGGCAATAAATCTGACAGACGAGATTCTTTTTTCTTTTTTTTTTATGATTCTTGAAGAGCGTCAGAGGTTCTGGAGATTAATCGCGGTTACATTATCAAGTTATTGTTTTAGCTGTAGGAGAGGTGGCTCTGTGATTGTGTATGTGAAAATTCCCTCGAGCAAGCCTTGAATAATTGGATGCTTGTATTCTGGTTTCTATAAAATTTCTTTCGTTTTTTTTAATCATTCCTGAGGATATTACTTTCATTCTATTTATTTGTGATCAACAACCGTGATAAATAGAACGTTGCATCATTAATAAGTGATAGTATAACACGAAACTACACTCGAGGATTACTTGTGACAGTATATTAAAGTTTCGTGTAAGCAGAGTTTTTAATATCGGCCAACAAATGTTGGTGAATTCGAATGAAAAGACTGGGAAATGAATCGAACGAAATAAAAGTAGAAATAAGTGATGAACGATAGGAAAGTATTAGATTGCTGCAAATGTAACAAGTTCAATGGCCGAATTTAAAGAATGTTCATCGTTATTAATTTCTAATTTGAAACTAGTCAAAGTGTACACGGCAGATTTGTCTCGAAACTAGTGCTCGTCAAATCGATCAAATGGATCGATTTCCATTTTGTTACATAAATGTAACAATGATTGTGCTCAATTAAATTTGACGATTGATGTAATTTCGAATAATTGAAAAATTGAACCTTGAACCATATCGCACGTAGCAATGAAAAATCCAATACTACGTACAATCTATTAACCAACAAGAAACAAATAACAAACGAAAGAATCTTGATTCATGTAAGTTCGAATAAGAACTGTGAAACTGCGATAAAAATTTAACCGTATCATCTGCAACATTCTAACATTATAAATGAACTGAACTGAAATGAAATGAAATTAATTAAAATAAATAAAAAATATTACAAATAATTCTGATGTTATAATTAAAAGAAAAAGTAAAAGAATTAGAATACTACCTAACGGGCCGCGAGTAGTTTTGCTGCTAACCTCGCCCAAGTACATAGGCATCACGGCGTACGTGATTCCACATCCAACGCCGGCCAGTATCCTGCCAATGTAGAGCTGAGGAACAGTATTTGCCAAGCCGATCAAAATCCAGCTGATAATCTTTGGTATCGTGGCGAACAGCAGAGTTCGTTTGCGACCGATCCTGTCCATCAAAAGGAACGGCACCACCGAGCCGAGACCGACACCGACGTACAAGAAATTCACTATCCATACCGTTTCGTCGCTGGACACTCTCAAAGGATCGTCCTGCTCGAATTTCGGTATAATAAGAGTGCTCCATCCCTCGTTCAATCCGCTGTCGATGATCAGAAGGTTGCCTACACAACGACGAACAATTTGATAATCTTCTCTCTCCTTTTCGTCGACGAAGCTCCCTTCGGGTCGATGATTTACGGTCTCTCGTGTCATTTCGATTACTTACAAATGATCCCGATAAATATCTGTCGCAATACTCCAAGATCCATGATGGTTAGCCTTTGTTCAGACTGTTGGAGAACGAGTGTACCGTTGGAATGGATACTCGCCTGCGGATCGTCGAATCTGTTTCATTGGTTCGTGGGGGTAAGAGTGCTGCGAAAGAGTGCACGGAAGAGATTTACTCGATTTTCGAGTTCATTAATAAAAGAATTTCTGAGAATCCGCGCTTAGTAATCGGTAATATTTCGCCATCGAGCCTCTCGAATTGATTGACGATTCTATTTTACACAACGTTCAGTGTCCTAGAAACCTTCAGAAAAAGAAAAAAAAAATCATAATAAAAATTATAAAATAAAGTTCAAATTATTCGAATCCACTAGACTAGACTCACAAACGTAGTTAAGGAAATGCGATTTGAGAGCCTAAGTTAAAATTCCTTTCCTGTATCGTACATTATTAATTTAGACTCCACTTTAAATATTTTATATATTCTTACACGTCGTCTTTCAATTTCTTATACCATTGGTTGTTGCATTTAAAAAGTACATGCTTCTTCTCTGCAGTCTGTTTAACAGCTTCGAGCGAGATGCAGCTCAATTCAAAATCATCCCCAAGCGATTGATCAGCACCGGGGTCAAGTTGTGTCATACGCGAAAATCTTGATTCTCTGTGGAACGCGGCGAAGGTAGTCGTAAACAGGTAGTACGTGTCGGAACGACGATTCCGGTTTAGCTTGGCGCAGAGATAACGGAAATAAAGCCAACTAAGATACTAACAGGATCCCGTGATACGTATCCCGTGCTGCAATAAGGCCGCGCTTGCGAGACATGGAAACGGCTTTGCACGCTTGTCCCCCGCGTTCCCAGCTAGTTGTTTTCGCTTTGTAACCTTCGATCCCTTGTTACGAGTCGACGCTTTATGGCCGACGTGTCATTAGGACACAGGGAACGTGGTCCTCACCTTAAATCCCTCACCGACTCGAATTTATCACCGCTGTTCCGTGGCCATCCCCAGCTTATCCCGTTTTATTTCCCATTTAACGTACTCTCGCCGCGTTACTTCGACTCGGCTGAATTCACGAATAGAAATGCTTTTGACGAGAAAATTTATATATATATATATATTTTTTTTTTCTTTTTTTGAGAAGTCAAGGAAATTTTTGAAGACTCCGCGTAACTGGTGCTCCATAATAAGAGACTAAAAGCTTGAATATTGTTTAATATCTTCTGCCGAAATTTTAATATTAAAATGTTGCATTGACGTTATCGATGTTGAAATATATCGAAGTATTATAATTAATCGAAGTTTTAATGTAATATTATAATAAAATATTATATATCTTACAATCGAAATATTTAGTATAAAAGTTACATAAAAGAAATGGAGACTCTGTCAACAATTATCCACAGGATGATTCGATTATCTCTACTAGTATTCAGCAACACGATCGGGAAATCTAATATTTACATGTTTCACGATATTCAACATGTTGACATCCGTCAGGATTTATGCTCATCGCGTCGATGTAACTTGAAAATCATTTTGTTACGCGTTCGCGACTTCGCGTAACTTGGTGCAACTGCGTTATTTAAATTCGCCCCCCGAAAACGTTTGCGCGACGAAAACACGCGACAGAGATAAGCTTCTCTCTCTCTCTCTCTCTCTCTCTCTCTCTAACGTTCTTGCATATAACACGATCATCACGTGCAACGTGACTTCAGACGAAATTATTTTCACAGACTGGCGATTATCATTGTCGAAAAGATTACAGTTGCGCGTAATACACTTGCGTTACGCACGAGTACATTAATAAAAAAACTTTGTATGTACGAAGGGACGGGGGAAGGGGGGTGGAGCGGGGTAATAAAAAATTGCGCGGTCACATCGCAAGCAGTTTTCATCGCGTAATTTTTTAATTTCGCTCGACAGTCCGGCCACAGTCGGACGGCGAAATTCCCGTAAAGTTCACTTATTCTCGGATGCCGCGCGCGTTTTGAAACTCTGTTATGTTGGCGGACTCGGGCTTTATGACAGACGTTACGGTACCACGCGTTATCAAGGGATGAAAGTTAAATGAGCCGAGTTCTTTAACACGTTCGCTTACGTACAAGCGCGAATCCTCGTCGCTACGGATCGTCTAGGTTATCGATTTGACTATAAGGCGCGAAACAAAAGCCACGAAATAACAAAGAGAAGTTTCATAACAATTTATAATTATTAATATAAGGCTACTGATTTTTGTACGTTTATAGGACATTTTGTGGTCAAAATATGTGAGATATAGTGCTTTTGTAATGTTTGAACAATTTCGTTTACTTTTTCAAAATATTATTATTACAATTATTAATTTGTTGTTATTATTACATTTGTAAATTGTGCAAGACACATACGTTTCACAGTGTAGAAATAGCACGTATAGAAGCCAATAGTTCCATAATGAACTGTGATCGTAAAATTATAATGTAAAATTACTTTGCTAGAAAGGAAGCTATCGTGAAATGCATGTATGAAACTGTAGTGCTAAAAAAAATCACGTAATTCATGAATTACAGAAACATCTGGCAACTGTTATTTACTATTGAACCAACATCCAGTATCATTATCCTGTATCGTTAGTTATTATATTCATTATCTTAAGCTTCAAATAATTTTAACAAAAATAATATACATGTCTTTTTTCACGCCACCAAAATATTACATTTCCCTCCAGCTGTCTTTGACATCTATACGATCTGAAAATAATTATAATGTTAGCTCTAATTAATTTTTCATTTATCACTTGCTCGTCAAAATCAGTTAACAATTATAATTCATTCGTGTCATTTCTGATACGAGTGTCTGCCAAATTCATTCGTTTTATTCTAACACTTGTTTCATATATATATCAGATTATGATATCATCATTTCATTACCATCGTTATCATTCTCGTTATATTTAAATAATAATATTCTGAATTAGTCTCAATTGTAGTTTTTCAATTATTCGTTCTGGAAGATGTCATTTTACAGGCAAGCGGCCTGTGTTCTACGATTTTGCTCGTAGTAAGTTCTCTCCACCGCAACTTAGATCTTGATCCTGTCCATTTGTCATTTCTCTCAGTCGATGGCACAGCCTGGTCGTTGTTTATTCTACGCTTATTCCATCTGTTATTATTAGCACGTGAATTCCGTTCGTTATCATTGTCGCGCAATTAAATCGTAATTGCGATAATGTGGCAATAGCGCACGAGCGTCGTTCAGTTATCGGTGAATTTCCATGGCGAAGGGATTACCTGTACTTTTCACCGCGACCGGAAAAATAATACTCCGTTCATTTATCAAACGAAATAGCTTCTTATTCCTCCATAAATTTCTCTATTTTTCCCCTCACGTTAATGTGTTCTTTTTTTTTTTTTTAACGTTTTAAGCTCTTTTTCTTTATTTGCTCGTTTCAATCGACCTAGTTTTCTTGAATTTATGCGAAACAACGTGTCGTTTTATATCGCACACAATTAAATCGTAATATGCAAATGTAAAATACTTAAAACAAAGTGCTCAACTGTAGTTGGAGTCGCGGGCGTTTATTTATTTTCGAGAAATTTGAAGTTCTGTCACCTACAGAACGTATCCAGTATGTAAAAATATGTGGAAAACACAGATACTTGTTATTAGTAAATTTCTATTTAGATTCTATTCTTTGACTACATTCATAAGAAATTGCATAAGAAAATTGCACGAACGGTGTACGTCTGTATCTGCTGCAGTCCAATTACAATATTTGTTTCGAGAAAAAAAGCTTCAAGACGTCTTATTAGCTCGAGATCGTTAACTCAGAGTTTTGTTCTCGTTTAATACCTAACGATATTTCCAAGAAAATATGCAAACCGATCGTGGTATATATCGTTCGAACGGAATGAACGATCGAGATCTAATTGGATTTGCAACACGTTTCTTACTGGAGGAGGGAAAAATCTCTAATTATGATAATAAGCGCGTAATATTCACAGGAGTTTAATGATATGATTATAGCGATTCGCAATACGGATAATGCATCATCCGTAGTTGCATAATGACAAACAGTGGTAATGTGAGTCTGAACAAGTTATCTAGGCGATGTTTTCCAGGAATTTTGTTCTGGTATCTAGCTTTCGTTGTAAACTATAATCAAGCTTTAAAGAGTGTTAAAATTTATTATTTGTATATTTATCCTTTCTATTACCTCAGTGAGATTATTATCAATATCTTTCAGGGCTTCGAAAGTGAATATAGATAATCCGAGATCTTTCGATTTCATAGATGATTCACTGACATGTACATATAAATATTTTTAAGTTATTCACACGTGTAATCGCCGGAAAATATTCCATTGACATGATTTATGAATCAAAGTCTATAATCATTACGTGTACGCATCGATTGAATTTTTTTTTGAAAATGGAAAAATTAACTGGTTCTTTATAATTGAGGAGATTTACATTCTAATTGGTATCTGCATTGTTAACGATATGCGTTTGTCGATGTGCATGTAATAACAGAACATTGGAAACATAGTTATCGCTAGAACTACCGAGAATTGAAGCGTGAAATTTCCATCGCGGAGAATGAAAGAAACTAGAAGAACTTTGGAATATAATAAAATACACAAGCTTCTACGGAAAGTCATAAAAATTTTTAAGGATATCTAATAAAATATTTAATAAAGTAAAAATTATTAATTGAGCATTTCGATCGTTTTGGTAATTCTGGTTTGGCATAATTCTATAATGGTTAAGAAATAAATATATATTCAGTTACCTTGTAAGTTTCCCGGAAGTTACATTTCGAACGATTAATAGTGATAAACGATTACTAATCGAAATTTAAAATACATAAAATATCCCTTGTCAGTAGATGTTGAAATTGTAATATGATGGAGAAGAATTATCATCAATTATAATTGTGATGTACATAAATTCTCCGCATAACATAGCTTTTCGTTTCTTGTGCAGTATGAGTGTGATGTTCCTACAATGGAACGTTTCGTCTTGTGAAAGTTAATGAAATGTTTCCTCCGTTCTGTCTTCCTTTTCCGTGGCAATTATTTACACGCAACAGATTTTCCTCGTCTACTTTTAACCCCCAGGGACTAGACCCACCAGAAGCACGGACAGAACAGAAACACGATTGCATGCACATAATACAGATATATACGTCTACTCTTGTATACAGATTTCAAGATACTGTTCATTTTTAATATTCAGTATTTGTGTAGAAAAATAAAATTTTTAAACTACACGTATACTTTATAATACAACTGTTAATACGTTGACATTTTGCAAATACCTTTTTGAA